CACAGGGTCTCACTATGCAGCTCAGGCTGGCCTTGAGCTCACTTTGTAGCCCAGGCTGGCCTCGAACTCTCAACAATCCTCCTGCCTCAGCCTCCCGAGTGCTGGGATTACAGGCGTGCGCCGCCATGCCTAGTGAGAATGTTTAAGGCCCTGGGTTCGGTCTCTAGCACCCCACCACTACCATCTCACGCACACACACACACACACACACACACAGACTTCTCTGGAATGAATATACTGACGTTGAGAGAGAAGCCATCTTTCCAAACCTGAGTTTGGGGAACAAACAGCCACTTTCCCTGCCGTTTGGCCACAGCCTGTCTGCAGAAGGCAGGCAGGGGCTGGGGTGTGGTGGCAGACACATATAATCCCAGCATTCCGGGGAGGCTGAGGCAGGAGGATCCTCAGTAAGTGTGAGGTCAGCCTGGGTTACACAGTGGCCAGCCTGGAGTACATACCAAGACCCTGTCTTAAAAAACCAAAAATAAAGTAATAATAGAAGTCAGGCAGAAACAAGGAGAAGGAGTCTCATGGATGCTGGACTGTGCTCCAAGGGCTGGCGTTCGTTAGTTCCTCTTCCAGCTGTGTGAGCTAGACTTTCCCTTTCTGGTTTAAATCAAGGGTCTTTGTAGGGAAGATTCCTGTCTAGTTCAGGCATTGGTGTCCTTGAAGTTCCAGGAGGCCAGATGGGTTTGCCTTCGTCCCAGAGTAGCTGGAGGTAGAACCAGAATTTAGACTTGTCTGGTTGGCTCGAGCTCTACGCACACGATACCAGTATTCGGTTGTTCATTCTCAAATGGGTACCAAGCGCTTACTATGTGGCAGACACTGAGCGAGCATCTGGTGCTGCACTCCTCCTGCAGGAGACCTGCACTCCTTCACTTCCAGTCCTAAGGACCCTCGAGTCAGAGGACCTGAGAACCTTCTCCAGGACAGGGCCTTGCACACCGTCTTCCCAGCATCCCCCTCACAGGCCAATGGGTGCAGCAACTATTTATGGGGACACAGAGGTCAAATGAAAAGTGCTTTTGGCCCAGTATGGTGGCACACTCCTATAATCCCAGCACTCAGGAGACTGAGGCAGGAGAGTTTGAGCCCAGCATGGGCCAGGGAGTGAGTTCAAGGCCAGTCTGAACTACTTAGGGAGACCCTGTCTCAAAAAAACCAAAACGAAACCAAAACAAAAAAACCCAGCCAAAATCCCAGGAGCTGGGATTACAGGTGTGGGTCATTTTTAAAGTGGTGCTGGCCAGGGCTGGAGCTCCTTGGTCTCCCTGGGAGACACCGGTGGCTTCAGGCTTCCAGCAGAGAGCCCTGGGGGGTTTTCCCTTGTTTGCATAGGCTCGTGGCCGCCCAGGTCCCTGAGTGACCCAGGTTGCCTGCTCCTCTCTGCCATCCCCTCCCTGAGGGCAAGAAGCTCCTGGGAGCCTCCTGCCTAACTCTGGGGCCTGGCACCCCGCAGCTGATGCAAGGCCTGGCGGGGTGAGCTCAGCCTGGCCCGCACCAGGAGCCTCTCACTCAGCCTGGGCCTGCAGTCACACCCGCCCACTCCCCCGCAGCTCGCTTCCTCCCGGGAACAGGCTGGGGTCCTGACCTTTAATGCTGGCTGCACCAGCCCACTTCCTCTTCTCCTGGGAAATTCTAGGTCCTCCTCCAGCTTCCCAGGAAGAGGTGGATTTCCCTCCACCTGCCATGCCAGACCCAAGGGAAGGAGCGCCAGGCCCTGCCCTGCATCGAGGCCCCGCAGCGAGGACCCCAAGGTGTCCCCAGTGCAGAGCCGGGACTCGCTGGCGTCTGTTTACTAGGAGCATTAGACCCCGCCAGCTGTCTCACGGGCGTGTCTCATCTTCCACCAAGGCGCTCTCGAGACGCACCTGTGCTTCCAGGAAACTCGGACAGCGCTGAGCTGCAGCGGCCAGCGCGGGAGCCGCCCACAGCACCTTCCCACAGCCCGGCGCAGGCTTCAGGCTCGGCTGCGGCCGGTGGGCACCGCGCCATCCGAGGCAGAGCGGGTTTCTCACGGCGGTGGGCAGTGCGCAGAGCAGGCAGGAGCCCAGGACTTGCGGGTTCGGGATGCGGCATGCTGGGGACCACGCCCCTCGGGGAGGGGCGGGTGACGCTAAGGGGAACACTCGGATCGGTGGGGAGAACACGGAACACCACAGCTGCTGGCTCAGGCGGCAGCAGCAGTATGGGGGTCTGTCGCGAGGTCAAGGCCCACTCCACGGCTGGCCCCTCTATTTCCGGCCCACAATCTGGTAGCAGGACACAGCCTCCTTGCCAATATTAAAGTTGGATGAAGCCTTTCTACTCTGCCCAGTTATACCTGGGGCCTGCTCATTTTCCTCAGCCATGTCCCATCCTCTTGGGGTGGCCATACACCCCTTCTTTCTTTTTGCTTTTCTTTTCTTTTCTTTCTTTATTTCTTAGACAAGGTCTCTGTGTAGTTCAGGCTGGCTTTGAATTCATTATATAGCTCTGGCTGGCTTCAAACTCATAGAGATCCTCCTGCCTCAGCCTCCCAAGTGCTGGAATTACAGGTGTGCACCAGCATGCCCATATACCCACCCTTCTGACCACCTTGCCCTCCTTCCAGCAGCTCTGGCAATCATTGCAAACCCTGAGACTGGCAAGCCCAGGCTACTCTGTCCCGAGAGCAAATGAGCACATAATGCCCTGTACCAGAGGGCAAAGCCTGTGCCAGCTGTACCCACCCCTCGCAGACTTGGGCTGTGGGGTCTGGCAGGGAGCCCTGCAGCGGAGCTCAAGGCTCGCTGGAAAGACAAAAACCAGCACCCTGTCTCCAGGCCCAGGCTGCAGGGCAGTCCAAGGCTTTCTTTAGCTCTCCTGGCCTCGAGTGACCCCCAGGAGCAGGGAGAAGGCATCTAAAGAAGGAAGCACAAGTCCAGACTCTGCTCCAACCTTGAACCAATCCCACAAACACTCGAATAACTTCTGTTGTTTGTTATTAGATGTTGCAGTCACACGGTGATCCACTCAAAGGGCACAAGGGAGTCTAATGCAGAGAAGACCGGGGTCTCCCCCTGCACCCGTCGCTCGGCTGTTCCTTCCTCCCCAGAAGCCGGCAGTCACAGGCTGCTGTGTGTCCTGCAGAAGGCAGACTTGGTCCCCGGTGGGCTCACCTAGCAGGTCACACGCTGCACCACTTTCCTGCTTGGGTGAGGACAAATTCTCTGCTGTGAGTGCTCCTTGAGAATGGATGGATATGAAGGGACCAGAGAAAAACTCCTCCCACCATGGGCCTGCTTTCTAGCTCTCTCTCCCCTTCCTGTTCCTCTGCCTGTCATCCCACTGGATGCCCACAGCACAAGTGAAGCGGGCAGATGGAATTGGTTGCATTTTTTTTTTTTCTGTCTTTTGGAGACAGGGTATCACTATGTAGTCCAGGCTGGCCTTGGACTCACTTTGTAGCCCAGGCTGGCCTCGAACTCACAGCAGTCCTCCTGCCTCAGCCTCCTGAGTGCTGAGATTATAGTTGCGCACCACCATGCCTCACTGGTCTCATTTCTTAGACAAGAAAATTACAGAGTCGAGCTGTGAAGGAGACCCAAAGTCACACATTAGCGCACCTCCGCGTCCCCGTACCATCCCCCCACTGCTTGGTCTCATCTCCGTGGATGTCTCAAGGACAGAGGAGGGGCTGTTCTGCCACTCCTGTCACCCCCCATGAGCTGGACTCTGAGCTGGGCCCGAGGGGTCAACAGCACTGGCTGGATTGAGAGACCCTGAGAGATAGCGTGAGCTGTTCTGCAGGGACACCCCAGGCCGAGACGTCCCCCGACCCTGGGTCCCTGACTGCTAATCGCTCTGACCACAGTCCCGGAGCCAAGTCAGTTTCTTCCTGCACCGTGGGCGCAATTAAGGCCACGCTCAGAAGGCCAAGGCCAAGGACCGGCTCCCCGGGGCGGGGGCGGGGGTCGTGCTGTGGTGAAGCAGGTTGTTCTCTGCCCACCGACTCAACACAGTGCTTTTGTTCTGTCTTTGATGTGACCGTGAGCGTGAGGAAAGCAGGTCTCTGCAAAATCCCAGTGCTCCGGGAACAGGGAAGAAGGCACAGCGGCTCCGGAGGGTACACACTGAGCCTCATTAGCGAGGCCGGAGGAACAGGAGGAGGAGTTCTTCCTATTTCAGAGAACAAGAACGAGCTGCCAGGGCTGTTTTGGGATTTAAAGCTCTGTCCAAGAGCGAGTATGAGGCCGGGGAGGGTGAGGGACCCTGGGGCCATGCTGCTGAGGGACAAGAGCAGATGGAAGCTGGGTGCTGGACTCAGAGAAGAGATTCCCTGGGAGGGCGCGGGGGATGATGAGGAAATGGTGTGTCCAAGGCGTGGCAGGTCCTGGGCACAGAGCAGGAATCTGGGCCCGAGGGGTCAACAGCACTGGCTGGATTGAGAGACCCTGAGAGATAAGGTGAGCTCCACTTGGGTTTTCTTCCCTGAAAGTCACTGAACTCACAGAACCCATCTGCGCCACCCTGAGCCCCGTCCTGCTAACTCATTCTGCCCAAGTGTCAGCTCCCTGACAGGCCGGGATCTGCTCTGGCACTCGAGGGCCAGAGTTCAACTATGAGATCTCAGGGCCAAGTTCTACCTTGAGGTCTCAGGGCCAAGTTCTACTATGAGATCTCAGGGCCAGAGTTGTACTATGAGATCTCAGGGCCAAGTTTTACTGCTGGCCCACATGGAATCCACCCACAGTCTCCTGCCAAGCCCCAGCCTCCACTTCCCCAACCCTCCCTGCCTTGCTGCTTCTTGATTCCCAACCCCAGTAGCTGTTGGAGGCTACGTAAACCTACGTAGAGGAAAGGGGAATTGTTTTTTTTCAACCATTGTCCATTAAAAATGGCGGCCTTTCTCAAGCTGTTCCTCCAGAGTAACTGCTGACAAAGTGCGAACAGAACCGCCATGCTCTGTCCTGGTTTGGTCCATCAGGAATACAGCAGCACAGGGAGTGAATGCACCCTTCTCCATCGCTGGCCCCTCCTTCTCCATAGTTTTCCATTTTATCTTCATCTTCTGGAGTTCGAAACATTGCCGAGGCTGGGCATGGTGATGCATGCCTGTAATCCCAGCACTCAGGAGGCTGAGGCAGGAGGATTGCTATGAGTTCTAGACCAGCCTGGGCTGCATTTTGAGTTCAATGCCAGCCTAAACTACAAAGGGAGACCCTATCTTTAAAAAACAAACAAAAAATCAAAGCCAAAACTAAAACCGAAAAATATCGCAAAGCCCTGGGACTCGGTCCTTCCTCTGCCCTCCATCCTTACTCCCATCCTAGATGACCTCATCCAGATTCGTGCTGTAAGAGCCAGCTCTTGCAGGGGGTAGTGGCACACGCCTGTAATCTCAGCACTCAGGAGGCTAGCCTCAGGAGGATAGCCACAAATTCAAGTCCAGACTGGGCTACAAAGTGAGTTCAAGGCCAGCCTGAACTACACAGTGGGACTCTGTCTCAATCCCACCCCACCCCTGCCACACACACACACACACACACACACACACACACACACACACAAGAGATCCATCTCCTGTGCAGCATGGAAGTGCATACCTGTAATCCCAGCACTGGGGAGGCTGAGGCAAGAGAATAGCCAGCAGCTTAAGGCCAGCCTGTAACAGAAAATGCCCCCCACCGAGCCAGTGTACTTCAGTTTCTTAGTTGCCCAGGTAATAGTTCCTATTCTAGTTCCCGTTGCTCCTATCTCTTAGAAATGGCTGGTCACTGTGATGCATAGCTGGTTACAATGATACAGTGGACAAGCCATTCCGCCTCTGTACTTCCTGCTTGCTTATCCCATGTAAGCCCTAGACCACCGGAGATCAGGGCCTGATATCCTGGGAATGATCCCTGTCAGTGCCTGGCACTGCAAATAAATCTGCCTCCGGATCCCAGTGTCATTTCGATGTTTCAGGTTGCTGTTGCAAGCCCAGGCTGCTTACTGAGTTTAAGGCCAGTATGAACTGCAGAGCAAGATCCTGTCTCAAACCGGGCGTGGTGGCGCACGCCTGTAATCCCAGCACTCGGGAGGCTGAGGCAGGAGGATCGTTGCGAATTCGAGACCAGCCTGGGCTACAAAGTGAGCTCAAGGCCAGCCTGAACTACATAGCGAGACCCTGTCTCAAAAAGACAAAAAAAAATCCTGTCTCAAAAAATAAACAAAATCTCTATGTGGAGTGCTCCTAAATTTGTATCTCCCTGGCCTGTCCACTGAGGTCTGGGCTGACCCCTCAGTGCCTGGACCCTGGCATCTAACAGACAGCCCAGGCGACATCCAAAATCAAGGCTGAACTTCCCCCTGAACTGCTCCATCGGCGACCTTGCCCGTCGCCGTGAATGACCCTTTCGTCCCTCCAGGCTCAGACCGAGTCTGGATGTGGACTCTTAATGTGTATCTTTACTCACCACCCACCCTTGCCGTCAGTGGGCTCTGCTTCCCCAACACCCGCTGCTGCCTGCAGCCACCACTCGCAGCAGCTCGAGTGTGGACCGCAGCCCGGCAGGTCTCAGGTGACCGGCCACCGCCACTTCCAGGCTGCGTCTCCTCCTGCTGCCTCTGGCTGGGCTCCGGCCACCCTGGCCCTGCTGCTCCTCACACACTGGGAGCCCACGCCTCCCCGGGCCTTCCCACGCTGGCATCTCGGCCCCCAGCTTTCCTGCTGGCGCTCCCTTTCCTTCCAGTCTCTGCTTAGATGCGCCTTCCCACCCTGTGAGGTCTCCGTGGACCACCCACCAAGACGACAAGCCTGCCCGGGAGCCAGCTCTAGAGTTCTCCTCTGTGCAGTTTTAATAGCATTTAATCACCATCTGGCACATTGTACGTGTGTGTGTGTATGTTCATGAGTGTATGAGTGTATGGGTGTATGGGTGTATGGGTGTTCGTGAGTATATGAAATATTTTAGCTGGGCATGGTGGTGTACTCTGGGAGGCTGAGGCAGGAATATTACAAATTAGCAACTTAGTGAGTCGCCATCTCAAAATAAAAAACAATAAAAGGGCTGGGGATGTAGCTCAGTATAAAAGCCTTGGGTTAAATCCCTAGTACCACAATAAACATAAAATTAAAATGAAATGTACTGGGCACAAAAATACAGTTAGATAAAAGGCATAAGTTCTAGTTTGTATAGCACAGTTGGGTGACTATAGTTAAGTTCAATTTAACTTATTAATGAGGCCCTGAGTTTTATTTCTGATACCAAAAAAAAAATAAGAATAATTTATTATCTATTGCAAAATAAATAGAAGAAAGAATTTTGGACATGTCCCATACAAGAAATGA